ATTCATTTTCTCTGTTTGAAAAACCATCCAGCTGAAATTTATGCATAATGTTCCGCGTTTAAATATGGAAACCATGTTATTTTATTTATTCATTTTCGCAACTCGCTATTTCAAAGTGCATTGTTTGAGTTATTAATAAATGAATCAAAATTCATATCATGTTTTATTTTATTTTGTTCTCATTTTGAGGCGGGAATAAAATCTATGATAACCACACCGTCGTACCGGTAATATACAACGAGACTGGCTCTTCCGATTGCAGTTAAATTCATTTTGTGCATGCAACACTATCGATTGCAGGCACAATCACTCACATAATACGGCAAAATTGGTTCTATTCTTTGGTGTGCGATTTGAATTTCCGCCGTGATTTTTTTCAAATTTCCGACATTATTTCCACCACATATCAAATGCTCATGCGACACACTCCAAAGTGCTAAATGTCGAATCGATGACTTAGTAGTCTTGCTTGTTTAGTTGAAAAAGGGGAAAAACGACGTATATTTTTTGACGCTGATAACCGCGTTTAGAGTGTAATTTTAATATCACATGCATCCACCCATTTTTTAAGGGTTAGCGCACATTTATCGCATTTATTTATATTTCGTCGCCATAGATTTGTACTTCACGCTCAAAACAAGGTAAGAAATTTGAACAAAAATCGAACATTGTGCCCGGTAGATTTGGGTTTTTAATTGAAAATTATCTCGATTCGCATGAATGGAGTCAAGTGCTCTCGACGATATGACGTCGCACTGAAGTTGACAACGATAAATTTAAGCGCGTGTCACCTTTTTTTGGCGTTGGTCCGATGATTTAATGGCCTAAACTGGACGAAACGTTTATCTACGCTTTAAGTGTCGCCAACAAAATGTTCATTAAATCGAATTCAGTGTATGTTTCTCGATTAAATCCGTTCATGTTGAATGTAAAAATGCCAGATTGTAATAATTTCCACTTCTTTAATTTTAAATCTTTCGGTTTATTGTGGTGTGCACAGTTTATTTTATTTTATGTTTTTTTTTTCTTATTTGTGCCGATGTTGATTGGAAGTTTTCATTTTATGTCTATTGTTTTTCAACGCAATTCAGTGGGTAATCTGTAGATTGAATGCAGCGCATCACATCGACACGTGTACCATAAGCAGTTTTCATCTCTTGCGTTAATTCTATCTAAAGGCCTCTTTAAATGAGCCAAAAAGAAAAACAACTTTTAAAGTTAGACTTACGAAAGATTTGCTGGTTTTTTTTTTGTTCAGTGTGAATCGTATGCCGTTTGTTTAAAGGGTTCTTGGTGTGGTGGTGATTTTCTTTTTTTCGGTTGATTATCATTATTTTATTTTTCATTTGGTGCGTGCATGTTGGTGACAACATGGTTTTCTTCGTTTATTGTCGCCGTTTTCATTTAGAATTCAATTGTCTGTTTAATGTTTGGCTCAAGTTAAGAGGCACGCTCAGATTTTATCAGTGTTCGCTATGTTTCAATGCATATCGACCATGGCACACAAAAAAACCAAGAAGAGAACACGTTCGATTGGTAAATATGTTTGATCGAGGCGAAAAGTAGATGGATAGGCTCCGCTGAGCTGTTAATTTGTTTTAATGAGGTCAAAACTTTTTCAATTTTCTGATGAATGCCAAAGATATTCTCTATGTTTCATTGAATTCGCAGAAAATTAACGAAACGAATTGAAATAATAGCATAAAAAAGTCCCCGTTGTACAATAAGATCTCTTAGGAAATGCGTTCAATTGAAATATCCTAGAAATGTTCGATTTTCTTAATTGGATAGATTACACATAGCACTAGAGAGGGTTTCGTTGTTGAAACGAAAGTTTTGATTCTGATGAAAAACTTAGAAATGTTTACTTGAAAGTATATTTCTTTTTTGAAAATGTGATTGTAAACCTCTTTAATTTTTTGCATTTACTTTCTATTTGATGAGCACGGCGAAAAGTCACATCATTAGGTCCATTAACCACACACAATTTATTCAAGGCAAGCCCGATTCCATTAGCGCTTGTATGTGTCGATGTGCACGTTGTATCCGCTTTTTTGTCTGTACCGTTGCTAAAAATCACCGTGCACACGCAGAGAAATAGTGAGAATTTTATTCTTCTATATCTTCGCTTCATATTGTAATGCTCGGCTTGAAATATGATTTGTAGCCGTATCGAATGTATGTGTTAGCAACACAACGGGTAGCTCAGTAATTCTAAATTGTGTGATGCGACATAAAATGTAGAAAATCCGTTCGAATCAGTGGAAAAGCATTTGTGTGGCCATGGTTGGTAAAGTGCAATGTCGACATGCGAAAATATTTATGTTCTACCGTTCGACACATTTGAAAGAGAGCCCTTTTTGTTGAAGCCATCACCGCGTCTTCGTTCGCCATATACAAAATATCATTTTAATGCCGTCTTTTATTGTAATAACGTTATTTAATGGCATGTGCAACGCCGTACGACGTTTTCCTTTTTAGTGGTTTAAATATTCAAAAGGGTAGAGAAAATATCATCCAACAATGAGCGGTTTCGATACAGAATCTTAATGGGTTGTCGAACATCGACACGCACACAACGAGCACTGGGAACCAGTACCTATACTGTACTTTTCCATATTACAATATATTTCAACGGATTTTGCATAAAATTAAGCATGATTTTTTTCTCTCTTTTCTGGTTAAGATTCAATACGAAGACACTTATCGCTCAAGACAGTCTTTGAACGTTCACACTTCAACAGCATAATAATTCTATATAGGGTACATTATCAACCCCTTTTAAAAAAAAACATTTGTGGTCGATTTTCGCTTCCAACCGAAGTTACATTTCGACAAATGTGTTGATGACGCTCAATCTCAAATGGCGACAAAAAACATATTTTTTCATTTGTTTTCGTAATCATTATTTTTTAAACGAAAAAAATATGCAAATTTTTAAAATTGTATTACGTAAAAAATGGGCATGAATACAAGAATTCCGGCAATTTTTCGTTATTTCGATATTGTTATGCAAATGTTTGTATGAATGTGAAATACGCTGAAATTTATTGTGACGATGTGGCGTACACACTACACAGTCCTGCCGAATGTGTAAAATCAATCGACAAAACACATAAAAATGATGAATACAAATAATGTCTGGTGTGTGTTGTGTCAGAAATATATGCAAGCAAATTGAACGTATGAATTTTGCGAGCACGCTCTCGCACACAAATACCAACGTTAGCACAATTACGGTAAAAATTGCGACTTTTTAATTATTCATAAAAACAATTAATACAAGTATGATTCCAAATGTGTTGCTGTTGAGTATTGTGGACACATATCGCGGTTCTTTTTTTTCGCATTATTATTATCGGTTTCTCGTTTCACTGTGTTTCGGTTGGTTTTTCTTTATCAATTTATTATGAATTCATTATGTTTGTAGGTTTTTTTGTGTGTGCAATCCTTTACATGAACATTCATATAGCATTTGATACAGTATTTGTTGTTCAATTCAATGTTTTTGTGGCTGTCGATTTTTCCCTCCGAGTTTCATAGAATTGCATTTATTATACGATTTTTTTTTATTTTTGTTCCACGAATGTTCGAATGGTCATTTGTAAATGTTGTTCATTTGCTATGTAAACAATGATGCACACCAAATTATACAATTTATTCAGCGCGTACAATGTCAATGTTCAAATCGTTTCATCGCTGGTTGTGGTGGAAAATGGCCACGAACACAAATGGTTGTGCATGATTTGCCATTTTAAACCATTTTCATGATTCAAACACATTCTTGTGAGTGAATAAATAATTTAAAAAGCGCACATTTGATTTTTCTGTAAAAAAAAAAAAATTCACTTCGGCAAAATCATAGACGAAGAAGGGGACAAATAAAATTGTGCAACGGACAGAACAATTGAAAATGTTTTTTTAATAAATCACTTCCACGATTTCCATGAGTTGGATGCCAAATGAACACAATTTTCCATTGATTAATAAATCATTCAGGTTTTAGCCGCCGCAGGTGAACGAACATTTTTCTACTGCAAAACCATTTTAATTAAGTGACATTTAAAAAACAACTCAGTAACTCAGTAATTGTGCGCTTATTTTTCACATAAAAACAACTTTTAACAACAACAAACAAAAACGTTGCGATGAAATTTATCGTATGAATTAGTTTTTTTTTCGGAATTCCCGGATTTTTTTTTTCAGCTAACTATTTAACTGTTGACAGTTGAGCTCTGCTACATGAAAGCCGATGATAATTAAGTTGCCAGTTTAATATTGAAAATACATAATTTTATTATGCAAATGGGATGCTGTTTGTGGAATTATTTTTTCTCTCATGCCACTTCCGGTCATGTCAATTCAAATAATAACAACAAAACTGCAGCATGATGAAAAATTTAATTGTGATTTTTTTTGCATGAGTATCGATTTATATAATAATTTGTTTGGTGTCTGATACAATTCATTCATTTTTATTGATTCATTTGGGCAGATGAGCTGGGATGAGCGGAACGGTGGTTCGAGTTGAAACAAATTTTCATCTGTTAATTAAAACATGTATAACTGCAACCAATTTAAACAATCCTCAAAAGTGTGTGTGCATGTGCCAATATTATGTGCAATTATGCATCAAAATGTACGGTTTTACAAATCGGATGGGAAAAATCATGTGAAATCAATCAAACAAGCGGTAGCGCTAATGAATGATTTCGATTGAATTGTGAAGCGATTACACTTTTTTTTCGATTCAACTGGAAATTATCTCTCGTGTAAGTGGAAATCTTTTTTGTTTGATTTTAACTTATGTCTATTACATCGATGATGGACTTTTTTTGAAACGAACAAAAATATTCAATTCTTTTTTTACCTTTGCGCCAATGTAATGTAGTATAATTGAAAATCCTGCACCAAAACTTAAACAAAGAGTATGTTTTCCATTTATATAAAGGCCTTTTTATTAAATATAATGAAAATAACAATGAAATTGAATTCTGAATGAAAATATGGAGAATTCGTTTAATTTTTTTTTCGATACGACTTTAGGCTGGCATTTTAATTAAGTGCATACATACACAAAACGTTGTCATTTTTTGTAACATGATCACTCTTGTTACTATTTAATTTCCACGATACTTCATGAAGTTATTTAGTATCGAGTAAAGTGACGAATTTTAAATTGGAAGTGGTGAAATAACCACAACAGCAGATAAAGCCTACAAAAACGCTATGAAATTGATTGGAATTATAACAAATATCGGTGACAAAGTGTGAATGGGTGCTTCAGAGATTTACAGGTTGATCGTTAGTAAACAAGGAATTAAAAAACTTTAGCAAGCTGAAATAGATTTTTAAAAGAAAAAATTTACAAAATTTCTGTCTTAATTTTTACAAACTTCTTTTCGTGTTATAAATTACCAGAGTTTTAATTTCACGTTTCTTTCTCATCATCAATGTCTTTCTCATCGTCGATATCTTTCTCATCGTTGATATCTTGATCATCAACTTTGATGAGTTTTGAACAGCAATCCGGATATCTTAAGCTTAAATCTTCAACAATTTCATAGCCTTCGGGAGGTGCATACGAACCGCAACTGAAAAAGCATTTATTTATGTATTTCTATGTTTTTTTCGGTGATTTTTCTATTAAACATATATCATATGATATTTCAATCTAAATTTTTTTTGAAGAAACACACTTGCTGACAGTTATACTATAGTCATCGTGACACGTGATACTTTCGCATTTATTTTCTGGATAATAGACGCCAACGGCATAAGTTTCGTCGCCATAAAAACATTTGTTTGGGAATTCTGTGGAAGATACACGATTGAATTTGTTTCATAAAAACGAAAATACGTAAATTGAAACGATTTTTACTTGGATTTGGTAATGCGATTGCAATACTGGCTGCGGTTATATAAATAGCACTGAGCAACATGAACATTATAATTTGTAATTTAGACATCATTATTTTACTTCTGACAACACAATATTTTTAATTTTTATTGGAATATTTTGTATTTTTACGTGGAGGCCAATCGATACTAACTGTAGACATTTACTAATAAGTTTTAGCCGGTGCTATTCCATTTTATTAATGCGGTCAGACGTTTGTGAACAAAGAGTGGGATAAAAACAAATTTCTGCGAACATTATGAATAAACGATTATAGACCGTTCTATTGACCAGAAAAATGGGGACACAAGCCATAAAAATAGCACGAATTTTAATGAAATACAGTAAAATCAATAATTTGAATCAGATGTTCTTTTCTGTCGCAAAATCGAAATATTTCGCTATGTGATAAAATGAACAAAGTTTACGGGACTTTGTTATTCTTTTTATTTTTCGTTGAAAAGTGGCGATCATTTGTTTTTTTTTCAGTAATATGGACAAATGTGCCGTTAGGTAAAGAAAATAAGTTTATTTCATATGTAAACGCGAACATATTAAACAATAATAAAGCATTTTTATTCAAGCAATAAAATATTTCTTTCACCATAAACGGACGAAGCTGAATTCAAACAGCTCCATCTAGTGTAAAACAAGCCAATTTTTGTTTCGCACACTGTGAATCATTTAAAAAGCGACCATTTGCCATTGTGAATGAATTTCAACGAGTTTACCAAAGACTTTTTCTTCATTTTTTCAATGCACTGCCAAAAAATATAAAAATCGTAGCAATAAACTCAATATTATTATAGATTTACAGTTATCATTGTATTCTTTTTCTAATTTTTTTGAAATATAGAACTCTAAGGTAATCCTTAAGCTCAATTTGAAGTAGTCTCTTCTCAATTCGTTGATGTATCCAATACGGTAGCGTATAATTCGGAAAATTAACAAAAGTCAACTCATACAATTTATTGGCTATTATTATTTATTTTGAAAGTATTTTTAAGTAATAATTTGTTTTTAATAAACTGGATTGCTACATTTTTTTTATTACATTTTTCGAATATTTAATTTTGTGGCTTTATTTTTATCTACTTTTTGATTTGGTATTGTTTTCGGTTTCAAATCGTGTGGAATTTCCACATCGTTTGCTTTCAAAAAATTGTAGAGTTTTTCGATGAATGATTTTTTTGGTACAATTTCATCGTTAATTTCGGTCCACAATTCTAAAGCTTCATGTGCTTTATTCTGTTGTATATAAATGCTCAGAAGTGAATCGTAGATTATGTCGCGATCGCAATATAAACCTCGTGTGGCTGAAAGGAGTGCCTTGGCCGCTCTAATTTTACCACGTTCGACATATTTGGCGCATTCTCTGGTAATTTGCTGTGAGATATTTTTGATGCCTTCATTTTCAAAAATTGCTCTCGCTTGATCCGGCCGATTACAATCGACAAATGCAAATGCCAAGCGGCTCAAAGCACTACTTTCGTTATAAACTTTTTCATATACATCAAAAGCGCGCTGCAGCAAATCAATTTCATTCTGTTCGATCAATTTTTTGAATACCAACATTGACATTGGAACCATTTTATGTTCATCGGCGATTTTTTCAAGCTGTTCAACGGCATCAGCGCACATGTCATTCTTCAAGTAAACGTATAATAATGGTGACAAAATTTGTTTTGATGGCTGAACATAATTATGTTTTACAAGAGTGTCAAATAGTCTATTGACCAATTGCTGCGAGCTGTTATCTGCAAGATTTTCGAGCAGCTTTTCAAAAATTAACACTCGATTTCCACATTTGGGTGGACCATGTGCAATTAAAATGGCTTCGATTTCATCGAAATTTTTATTTTCCTTAAACATCAATGTGACCAGCTTTCCCACCTTCGTTGCATCTAACTTGAATGACTCATTATTTTCACAAACACGTTGCAAAGTGTTCAAAGCATTTTCCAAATAGCCGAAACTCGTGTATAGGTTGATCAGTTGAGCATAATCAGCATTTGTGAGACTAAATGAGCCTTTGGCTAGCAATGGCTCAATGTCTTTCACATTTCCTTCACGAATATAAGCAAGGAATAATAGCTTTTCCGTCGATGCCACGTTGTGGCCTTTTGATATTCTCGCTTGCAGAATATTTTGCAAATCAATCGAATTGATTTGTCTCGAAATAGACGATTTTTTGACATTTGTTATCGGTTTCAATTCAAGCTCTTCTCTGCTCAATTTTTCGAGCAAACTATCAATTTCGGATTCACTATTATCTTTAAGTTGATGCCGAATGGTATCTGCCGCCTTTGGTGTTATGGTTAAACCTTCTTCAACGAACAAGAGTAATAGTGATTTTGTTAACTCTGGATTGTATCCTTTTTGGGTTATTGCTGCCGACAACATTTCAGCTGCAAATGCTTTTTTCATGTCTTTCGTTTCAGTGGTTTTGTTTTCATTTCTTATGAATTGATCAAAATGCACCAAACTGTCATAAATCACACGTACAAGCAACACAAAATTTCGAACATCGCCGGTTGTTGTAAACGCTTTAATCAGTGGTCGTTTGATGATATCGGTATTATAATATCCATCCATGCTGATTAAAAAGTCGTGTGCTGTTTTGAAGTCGCCTTTATTCAAACTCACATTCGCCAATGCCATCACAACGCTGCGCATGTAAATTTTAGTCGTTTGTAATTTGGCGTAAGCACCAATTGGATCCTCTTTTGCATTCAAACCGGGTAAAATGAAATCGCGAACGAAACTGATCTGTGGACGAATTTTGAAATCACCGCACATCAAATCCACCAATTTCAATACATGTTCGGGACCAATTTTCGAAGCCGCTTCAAACATTTTTTCAAACAAACTTTGTGACACTTTCTTGCCCGACGCTTTTACATGATTCAATAGTTTGGAAATTAAGATTTCCGACGAACTTTCGAAACCCGGCTCGAAAATATGGAAATGTTTTTCAAATGATAAACCATTTGCTTCAATGGCTTTTATTGTTTCATCAAATTCTTCCGAAGATGCCGACAATCGTACCATTTCTTCGATTAAATGTTTATAATTTGATTCGGTGTCGGTAGAAAATTTTTGAATGATTAACGGCAAAATTGCTGATTGTTTTTTCTCAACGAATGTTGTGATGACATTTTTAATTGATCGTTGCAATACAACGCTGGATTTCACGTGTTCAATCATTGAATCGATTTTATCCGCATGACCATTGGCTATCAATTCACATGTTGCATTCAAAATATCTCGACTCGCCACCTGCATATTTTCCGCTTTCATTTTTTCCAGTGTTGCTTGAATGTTTTCCCAATCACCACTCTTGCAATAATGGGTCAGCAATGCATTCAATGTTGGGTAAGATACTTTGAATTTCTGTTCGTTTAGAGATGACATCATTGCATTCGCATTTTCGATGTCTCTTTGTGATGTAAAAGAATGATGGATTAAATATTTGGACAATTATCAACCAAAAGACAAAAAAACAATAACATACCCGCAAATAATGTGACATTCAATCAAATTGTTGTATGCTCTTTCGCTAAGGTGCATGCTGTCCTTGTCCATCATATCCAGAATATCGACGGCTTTTTCCATATTTCCCGCTTTACAATATGTCTCGAGCAAACACTGGTAAGAAGTGCTGTGAATTTGGAATAAAATCGAATTAAAGAACTGATTCAGTTTCGTCTTCAAAAAATAATTATCACTTACAAATTCGGTTTTAAATTATTCGCGCGGATTTCTTCAAAAAATTGTTGCATTTGTTCGCAATCGCTTTTACGTTTTGCAAATTGCAACAAATAATTGTAATGGTGGATGTCAAAAGCGTTCTTTTGATCCTTGAACAGTTCCCAAATGTTGAATACAATTTTGTCCAGGCTCACATCAATGCGACCATGGGCGCAAATTTTGAAAATTTCCTTTGCTTGTTCATTGTCAACCTTTTGCTTTTTTATCACTTGGACCAGAGTTTCCAAGTCTTGCTGGGTCAGTGGATTTTTATTCTCCACACGTACCTTAAAATCTCTTAACAAGCTCACCAAATCCAACGGTCGGTTATATTTGGCACCAGGTATAGACCTTGCATAATTACTGTGGAAATATAATTGGTGTGCATTAGAAAAACGAACACAAGATCACAGAAATTCACTCAGAAACAAAATAAATTAATAAATGCTCCAGAACAAAGTTGATTTGTTCAATTTACGTGAATTTGGATGAACCAATTATAACAATTAAAAACCGGGACAATAGCTTTATATTAACCTATAATAAGATACCTTTTCTGTTCCGAATAACTCAATTGTGGCACTCGATGAAAATTTACATTGTTCAATGTATACGCAAAATGCGCGAGTTTTAGTGATGGATTGCAGAAGCGACTCAACATTTTTTTTTTTTTAATTTCAACAAATTTGGTAAAATTTCTTCACATGCCTATCTCGAAAAAATGTGAAAACTATCATCGCACATGATTTTTGACAGCAATTGTCACTCTTATATCATCGAAATATTGCGAGCGACAAACGTTAGATGGCGCTGTCCTCACTATAAATTTTGAATGCAAAATGAAATTCATTGCATTTAATTTTCGTTAACATTTTCAATGTGATTATCAATGAGAAAAATAAAACACACGACAAGGTATTTTCGAAATAAAAAAAGAGATTATATGTATTTCAATACTTTAATAATGCGGTTAAATAATTGCTTGCAATTACGATTCACATTGAAATCGCCCTCTTAACTAGGTTATTTAAAAAAAGAAAACATGAAATTATAGGTTTTACCAATAAGTGATACATTTTCATACATTTCTGCTATTTGTTGCTTCACTTAAAAATATATTGAATAAATTCAAGTACTGATAATAATATTATATTTCTCTACTAACTCCATTTCAATTCACAGCTAATTTTGACCATTCTCAAATTTTTACTACTTTACAAAAGATTCTCTTCTCATTTTCGTTTCAAATAAATTGCCGGCAATTTTACCGTGACGAGGTGGAAACATTGTCTCGGTCCGGCAATGTAACAAAAAAAAAAAATAAGAGAAGATAAAAAATGCCACCAAATGAGAAAAATTCCTTAATATTATTATTTAAAATCTAATTTTCATGTATGATTTAGTGCAAAAATTAGAACAAATAAATTTTATATAGGCGGGGGGGTAGGGCGGTAGAGGATACATATGTATATAGATCATGATGAGAGAACTCTCTTGCATGATCAGATTTTGAGCAAATAGTTTATTTTAGATAGTAAAAGTATTGTGGTTATTGTTCGTGGTGTGCAAATTATCCAAATTGAAAATGTGCCATTTGTTTTCATTTCTACAATTTCCATGCGTAGTTGCAAGACTGGTGCACCGTCAATTTATTGAACGGGTTTATTGATTTTGTTGGATAATTTTCTCCCATTGTGCAATGAGCCGATGTGATGATTGAGTTTCACTTGGATCAACATCGCACAACTGTGCCAACGACACAGCCGGCTTCAAACGGCTAATCTCTCGTTGGAATAATGGACTCGGTGTTTCTCTGTAAGGTAATTTAAATTCCAGTTAGAATCTTTCATTTGCTTTCATCACTTTTTCAACTTTTCTTTATTTCGAATTTTTATTACCTTGGCGAAAGACTAGTATTTTGTGTCAATGCATCGCATAGTTCACTGATGGATTTTGATGGACGAAGTTTGTAACAGTGTTCCTCTTCCGATTCTTCGCCAGTTGAATCACAGCTAAAAACCAAAGAAATTTCGAAATTAGAATCGTTCAGAATTTAACGTGAAAATAGAGAAAAACCTACTCGACCCCTTGGTCAATGCAATCTAATAAATCCGGTTGTGATAGACGGAGTTGATCGCGACGCATTCGTTTCAATTCGGTTTCACGTGAACGTATATCACGCAATTCCTTTTGGATTTTCTCTTCAACCGGAATGAAACCGCGACGAATTGGTTTGCCATGCATATCTCGTTCGATGATTGGTGGTGAAGCCGCTTCTTGTTGCATCATAAAAACAGGTGGACGATTCAACTCCAATGAAGTCTGAAAAAAGGTACAATTTAAAGAGAAACTCTTTTCTATCTTTTTGATAAATCATTTCTTACCAAAATCGAATCGTTTCGTTTGTTTGCGAAATTTACTTTCGCTGCTGTCTCCTTATCATTAGCACCATTCAATGTGTTGCTGTTGTTTAAATTGGCTGCATTTGCGGCGGCTGCCATTTTTCCTCGTGTCGAGATGAAACGTTGCATGAGTCCTTTTTTGGCCGGATTTATTTGAAAGCGTGGTGTTATTCCTGGTACATAGATTTGTGGTGTCGAAGTGGTACGTGAAATAATTTTCGATGCAACGCCAGAGCTATGGTTCATTTTGAATGGACTTGCCGAAATGGTATTCTGAACGGTATTTAAACGAATGTATTTTGATGGTGAATTAAGTGTTGTTGCCGATTTTGGTGGATCAATCATTTCATTGGCCGATTGTCCATTGATTGGGCTTGATGCTGACGAAATGCCCGAATCATCCGAAAATGCCGAAACACTGTCACTGCATGGATCTTTATCGGGTGAACTTGATAAACTTGAATGACCATCGCTAATTGGTGACATTGATGAATCAATTCCGGCATCATCAACATAATCACTATCATGCGATTGTTGTGACAACATTTTCGTAGCGTTTGCAATTTTCTCGCGATGTTCACGCTCCCGTTGCTCAACCTCGTTAATTTCGGCCTGAATACGTTTTAATGGATCGTGATTCTGAAAAGAGAAGAAGAAAAAAAAGAATTGGTAAAAATTAATCAAATTGAGTCTTAAACCAATTCAAAACTAATTACGTTCACATGGAGAGAGAGAGAGAGAGAGAGAGAGAGAGAGAGAGAGAGAGAAAATCACTCAAATTATAAAAATGGAAACTAATAGGTAAAAGTGTAGAATCGCTACTAATTGACGACTTTGAATCAAATGATGAACTTCTTTAGATTAGAACACATTTTTGCGGCTAGTGAAATAGAACAGCTGGAAATAACAATGGATGAATTTGTTCAAAAACCAATACACACAGTTCACGGAAGACATAAACTTTGCTAACACAAATTTAGCTCGAACACCAATTTCTTTGGAATCGGTTCACATTCCAATTCGTATGAGGTTCTTTTCAATTTGCATAAAACACATCGAAGTGTCTGGTTGAGTGTGTGCTGTGTGATGAGTCTGATTTAGCTCGCAATCAAGCAACCAATGGTAATGAGATGAACAATGCAATCGGATTTCTAGGCGAATGAGCGCGCCACATAACGGTTTTAATTTGAAATATATGCTACTGCTGGATGCATACGTACTCCGTACACACACGGCAAATTGGCATTCTTATTGGATTAGATTTAGCTATGAGATGAAATACACTTAGTATATGCTCGAAAACCAAAACATTTATTGCATTGAATTGCTCATAAATTTACCGCAACTCAGAAGTGGAAAAGAGAAAGGAAAGAAATTGTATCGCATATAGACGTATATTTCACGTGCCATAATTCATCTGCAAAACAACAAAATTGCATATTTTTTATCTTTCTTTTCTACTGACTCGAACCGATTCAGCATATATCCGAAAATATCATAGCAATCAACTCCAGACACTATCGCAATAACTTTATCACTAATTAAAGCTATCAATTAAATCTATTATATACGATGGTCGCATGCTGTACTTTTTTTTGCCGTTAGTTGAATGCCGCTAATTCAATCGGTTACGTAATTAGTCGATTCATTTCGAGTTTTGTACTGTTGAGACGGAACTACTTTGTGCAGCGTCCAGTCGTAGTCAATGTGAGGAAATTATGGCTACAATTATGTGAGAAACACGTAATTATGATTATGACAAAGACGTTTGTTGAATGATTTCTGTGCTAGGAACTAAATTAAAATGATCAATGCTTGAATGGCATAGTTTTTTTGAGAAAAACAAAAAATTGAATGGCAAATTTGCGCCATTTTCGAAAGGAGCAAAGAGACCATTGTTTTGCGGTAGCCACAGATAAAAAAGTGGAACATATCAAATGAGAAAGATAGAGGAAGAAATGGCCCAGTTCATCTTGTGCAATAATTCATATGACTAAAAAATATTATTTACTCTATTTATTCATGCTGAACACCATACGGTGAAAAGAAAGAAGTGACAAAAATCCATCCCACAAAATTCAATTTTTCATCGTCTTTTTTTTGCTCTAAATTTTACACACGACAATTTTATTGAATACCGTGGAGTAAAAAGACCAAAAATTCATTTTTTTAAATACCATTCACGCTTTTTTTCAAATGCGACTTTCCACATAAGTAGGATGTTTATAAATACGTAGGTTGCTCCATAATTTTTTTTAAAATGGTACTTATAGTGTTGCCCGATGTAAACCATTGTCATATTCGTAAAGTTTGATGTTTTGGTATGTATTCGTGCCCTGAACCTTTTGTCGTACGAACGCTATTTGTATTGTTTACAGTGACTGGTAAACTGCGACTCAACAAAAAAATGAATTTTACACGTGAAGATTTTCGTAAAATGATTTACTACGATTTTCGAAGTAAATTATCTCAACAACAGTGTTTCGATCGACTTCATTTGGCCTTTGGCAATGAAGCACCAACCCTTCAGACAATTTATAACTGGTACCGAGAATTCCGTTGCGGTCGTAGTTCGCTCAAAGACGAGTTTCATACAGGTCGTCCAAAATCGGCTGTTGTGCCACAAAACATCGATGCTGTCAGAAAACTGATTATGGAAGATCGTCATGTGACCTACCGTGAGATTGAGGCATCTTTGGGCATTTCATCCCACAGCATACATACAATTTTGCATGAACATTTAGCCGTAAAAAAGATTTGCTCTCGTTGGATCCCACATAAATTGACCGATGAACAAAAAATGGCTCGTGTGAGTTGGTGTAAAGAAATGCTCAAGAAATTCAATCGTGGTGCTTCAAAAGACGTTAATAAAATCGTCACTGGTGACGAATCGTGGATATATGCCTATGAGCCCGAAACGAAACAGCAGTCGACTGTATGGGTCTTCCAAAATGAAGATAACCCAACGAAAGTTGTTCGAGCAAGAAGCACTTCGAAGCGAATGGTCGCCTGTTTTTTCGGGAGAAGTGGTCATGTGGCAACCGTTCCACTAGAGGATCGTAAGACCGTCAATTCTGATTGGTATACCACCATTTGTTTGCCCGAAGTGTTTGGTGAAATAAGAAAAAACAACCACCGTCGCAAAATAATTCTTCATCACGATAATGCGAGCTCTCACACATCTTTTCAAACTACTCGATTTTTGACCGGTCAAAACATCGAACTGATGGGTCATCCACCGTACAGTCCTGACCTGGCACCCAATGACTTTTTTTTGTTCCCAAGCGTGAAGAAAAAACTACGTGGTCAACGATTTTCGACACCAGAAGAAGCAGTTGAAGCGTTCAAAACACACGTTTTGGAGATATCAGTTTCGGAGTGGCACGAATGCTATGACAAATGGTTTCATCGAATGCAAAAGTGTATCGATCATCTCGGGGAATATTTTGAAAAACAATAAAACCATTTTCGACAAAAAACAACTGTGTTATATATGTTTTTAAAAAAAATTATGGAGCAACCCTCGTAATTGTTTTTATTTTTTTCTTCTTTAAATTCATTCAACATTTTTTTTCGCTTCTATCTGTGGTTTCCGCATATTTTTCTGTTGAAAATTTGTGTTGAGCGCGCAGAGAAAACACGAAAAAAAATGTGATGATATATGGTATCATGGCATGAGAATATAGACAAGAAGTATTTGGCCTGATTCTTACCGACTATCACAAGCAATTAGTTCAAATTCTTGTGTAAGAAATGTCATCATCGTACATAAAATGAAAAGAGAAACAGTCAAGTAAACATGTTTTTAATTTCTACGAAACCACTAAGCACGGCAACATACAAGAGCACAACAGAAAGAGACACTTTATATGTCTTCGAAGAATGTGTACGGACCATCATTTCATCATGTACTCTCGTATGATCGATCATTAACTTCTTTTGCTTGTGTTGTGCGCATCTTTTGTTTTACACGATCTCTCTGATAATGATCGTTGTCGACATCGTTTGTGCTCATGTAATTTGACCGATTTTTTTGAAATTGTTGACACATCGCACATCAAATCAACTGACTCCATCAAATTGTGTGCATCTATGGTCATTGCATCTGATTACGTGTGCCAATGTGCAACGGTGACATAATTTTTCTTTCTTCTTTTTTTCTGTTTCAACTGCCCATTAAATGTCATTGACAATGATTAACTGACATAATAGTTTTGATCGCATCGTAAATGTGTCCATCCACACACTTGATCAGCAAAAAGTTGCCAAAACAGAAAACAATTTTAAATGCACAAACATCACGAAACAAACAGGCAGACGAACGATTGACATTGAAATTCATTTCTAGAAATGCACTCCATTTCATTGTGTCTTATAATGGCTCTCTTCACGTTTCACGTGCAAACATGCGCACAATGTATAATTATAAAATAAAATACTGAACACATCGCAAAAGCGAAGTAAAATAAAACACGATTAAAACCAAATAAAGAACACATTGTTCGCAAATGTACAGCAAATATTTGCCAAAGAGACAGTTTACCGCTATGGATGTCGACGTGAATTTTGTTATAATTTACAATAACAAACGTTGTTCGTGCACACGATATCAACACTTTTTTCAGTTTGGACGATCATTTTGATGCCTTTTTTTTCTGTTTGAAATGTTTAATGAGGCTGCTGCCAGTGTCTGGCTATTTGCACATCTTTTGCACAATTGACTTCTTGTTTCATCGTGCGATGCGTAATTTGAAGAGACGAAAAATGCGACGGAACTAATACTATTATTCCGAAATAAGTGCAAAGTGGTTGAATCATCGACTGCTTATGGAATTTATTGAATTTTTAAAAATAACCAAACAAATGGAGTTACAAACGATTCGTACGATAAAGCGTCTGTTAGCAATATGCAATTGTTATTGTTCGGTGCAAATGAACTTTATTTGTTTACGTATCAAATTGCATCTCAATTTTATTGTATAAATCGAGCAAAAATTCACATTGTCGTGAGATCATAATTTCCATCCAAATCGATGATAATTGAATCGAACAACTCATTGCATGCAAATTATTTCTCGTCTCATCACACTCAAAGTTCATTTACACGTGTTTGATTCACACCTCATTACGCCGCAAAATAATGGGTTCGATTTATTTTTTTTTCTTTCACAGCTACGATGAACTTACGGCAGTTATCTTGAGTGATCGACCTATTTCATAGGTGTGATCTTTTTTAAGATTGGCTTAAAAAGTAATTTCGTTGTCTAATGTAGTTTGTTTACTTGACACGAAAGAATCGGATTTATTAGACATGATTTTTGTCCATAATTACACTTGTTCTATATTTTTGTATTTTTTTTTGCCAGAATATCGAATCGATATGTGTTTGTGAGTGAAAATAATAACCAAATTTGATATTATCATAAAGCAAATATTGGATATTTGCGCAATCGGTCCGTGAATCACTGATATATTTTTTTCATTAACTTTATCAGTTCTTTGTTGTCTACATTGCGTCACCTGTTGTTACAATGGATGTTTGTTCTGTCAAAAAAAAAATTGCATTTACTCGACGCTTTATCAGCTGGTTGAGAAATTGCCGCTTAAAAGAAATTTGTTCGCACGCACTTGGTTTGTGA